TCAGAGGCTTGGTGAGAAGCCTGGGCTGGGTGGTGAATGCTGGCTAGGCAGCAGGAGGCCTGCACTGAGTCTCCCAGGACAGAGTCCACACTAAGGCTCTGCATCCCTCTCAGGCTGGTGAAAGTGCAGGGAACAGGTGAAGGTGCAGGTGGACATCATCCAATCCCCATTCGGGCCTGGTCCAATAAGAAGCCTTACATTTGGGGATGTGGTGGCCCCTTCTGCCCTATGGATTAGTCCAGCCCTGCTGCCTTTCACTAGGAGGCTCCTTGTCTCTCCCTCCTCTAGGCCTGGCCTCTGACCCCTGCTTCTGGGTCACCTCCTAGGTCAAGCCCTACAGCCTGACAGAAAAGTGCTTCGCTCCCTGGGATAATTGGGCTTTTCTAACAGCAAAATCACCACCAGCGATAAAAAAAAAATAAATAAATAACATTACTATTTGCTATAGACTGAGAACTAAGTTCTCTATGCTAGATGCTTCTAGATTTCATCTTTTCTTTTCTTTTTTTTTTTTTTTTGAGACGGAGTGTCGCTCTGTTGCCCAGGCTGGAGTGCAGTGGCTGGTCAGCTTACTGCAAGCTCCACCTCCTGGGTTCATGCCATTCTCCTGCCTCAGCCTCCCGAGTAGCTGGGACTACAGGTGCCCGCCATCACGTCCGGCTAATTTTTCGTATTTTTAGTAGAGATGGGGTTTCACTGTGTTAGCCAGGATGGTCTCAATCTCCTGACCTTGTCATCCGCCCATCTCGGCCTCCCAAAGTGCTGGGATTACAGGCTTGAGCCACCGCGCCCGGCTAGATTTCATCTTATCTAATTTTAAAAATAACCCTGAAAGATACACAGCACTCCTCATCTACTGTATCAATGACACTAAATCTAAGGAGGTTAGATTTAGTGCCTAAGAGGTAGCCCACTAGTAAATAAGAGTCTAAACTTAAACCCACATCTGTGTAACTCCAAGGCCTAAGCCACTTTCCCCTCTTAAGCCATGTTGTCTTTCTAAAATCAGGGACTCAGTCTCCCTGTGCTTGAATGTGGGGCCCTGGCTGGTCTCTTACATCCTGCCCTCCTCCCTCTCTTCCCAGGGACTGAAGTACAGCTGGAGGGTAAGTGCTGTGTCAAGGCTGTCCAGGGACCCACTCCCAGCCCTATCCTCTCCCCACTGCTAGGCTGGGACCACCCCACACCCACCCAGCCTAGGCCCCAGGGCCTCAATGAATTGATGACCAGTCAGAGATGCTCAGCAGTGAGGCTGGCTTTCCAGTTTTGAGTGGGGAGGAGGAAGAGGAGGCAGCAAATCGGGTCGGGAGGCAGTTCCCAGGGGCTTCTGTGGCCTGCTGAGGCGCAGTGGGTGAGACTGGCCAAGGCAGGAGGGCAGGGCCTGAGGGATGGGGATGGGAGGCTCTGCGTCTCACCTATCCTGTCCTCTCCAGACCCCAGGCCTCCGCCCTCTGGACAGTGGATGGGGTGTCTCCAGCCTTCATCCAACACCAGGAAGAGGATGCACAGGCCACAGCATTGGGGGTACTAGGCAGCACACTCTGCCACACCACCCTCATTGTGCCATGCTTGATCCACACAACACACCTCCAGTTTCCTGAAGGGAGCATGGTCTCTTGGGTCTACACATGCTGTTCCCTTTGCTTCTAATTCCTTTCGCCCACTCACTCCTAACTCTTCCTTCAGGGTCCAGCTCAGGAGTGACTCCTCCAGGAGGCCTTCTTTTGTCCCCCACCCGCCCCAGAGCTGCATTAGGCCTTCCTCATCATGGCAGCCTCCACACTGTACTGTTAACTCTAGCTCTGGGACTATCTCTCCCACTAGACTGTGAGCTACTTTGGTTGGGAACAGTGCTTAATTCCTCTTTGTATTACCAGGGGCCAGTGTAGAGCCTGCAAAGAGAATACCTCATGAACATCTGATAAGTGAGTGAGTGTGTTGGGAAGACTGCAGAGGCACCTCTGAGAAGGCCTGCAGCAGAGCTGGAGGCTGCACCCCCATGTCCCTGGCTCCACCCTCTCTCCAAGCCTCAGCTTCTGTGTTGTGCTTGCCCATCCACTGGTGCTCTTCTGAGTTGCCCTGAGCACACAGCCTGCTGGGAACTCCTACACCTGCTTGCTGGCTTAGCCACAGCTCCTGGGATCTGGGAGACAAAAGGCCTTTGTGTAACCTGTTTGGAGTTATCAGTGCCACTGTCCAGTGAGTCAGGGACCCAAATGGCCACAAATGAAGAGGAGAGTTCTCAGATGCAAGAAAGTAAGGCCAGCTCTGGCACAGGCTGTTAGCTCTGGGTTGTTTGGCCGTCCTTTCCTACATCTTCCCCCTTGCCCTGCCCCTTCCCATATCCTATGAGGACTCCTGGGTACTAGAAAGTTATAGGCTTACTACATATTCCTCATGTAGTAAGTGGCAGGAAGCAGCTGTGACTAAGGCCTAATTCCTGTTCCAGCCCTGCCCTGCCAGGCCTTGGCTCCAGAACCCAGAGCTGCCTCCTGCCAGAATTCTGCAGGTGAGGCTCCAGACAGGTGCAGAGAGCTCTCCAGCAGCCCAGAGGCGGCATGACTGGAAACATCCCTACAGGAGCAGGACAAGCTGGTGACTAGGACACCAGACAGGAGGGGACCTGGAGAAGCAGCCTCGCTCACATTTTCCTGGGTCTCAGATGCCAGGGAAGTGCGGCAAAGCATGGGTGAGGTCCTGGGAAGGCATTAGCCTTGGGCTTGGGGTGGAGAAGGACACTAAAGAAAAGGTCCCTGGGGCGGCAAAAGGGCCTGGGCAGGTCCACTCTGAGAGATGGGGGAGGTGAGGCCACGGGCAACCCCGGCATTCCTCTGGCAGCTCACTTTAAAGGTCCAAATTATCTTTCACTTTGGAGCCAAGGAAGGCCCACGGTAATTCAGAGGACTCCTCCCTGTCTCCTCTCTCTCCTTCCCACTCACCCCCACCCATCCTGGGTAGCAGTTCTCACCAATGCAAGGCTGGTCCTAGAGCCCCGGGTGTGGCCAGGACAACACAGATGTCAGCAAGAGTGAGCCTGTGCCTGTGCCTCATCCTGCAATGCTGGTACCTTGAATCTGCCTGCTGCCAAGGCCAGGCCGGGCGGAGAGCTCCTCAGTCTTCCTGGGAAAAGCAAGGCTCTGCTGTCTGCTTCCTGAGTAGCCTGAGTATAGTGAGTTCTCCGACTCTAGCTGGCTTCCTTCCTTTTCTTCTTTCTTTCCTTACTCCCTTGGATGAATTTTAAGAACCTTGAATTAACTGACCTTGGTGTTCCTGGAAGGAACATGTGATAACACCCACGACAGGCTCTGACCCACCCCTTTGGCCTGGCCTTATTTGAACTGCCTGGCTTCTCCCAGTCTGCCCAGTAGGAAGTAGGAACTGGTGTTTGAGCCAATTGCAGATCATTTATGGTGATTGGGCACTGAAGGGTAAAAACCAATGGGATCAAGCCCTGTCCCTTAGGAGCTCTTGCCCTGAGGGAGGCTGTGACAGAGGAAATGATGTGAAAGGAGGATGGCAGAAGGCCAGGGTGAGTGAGACAGCAGCCCTTAGGCTCACTGGGGTTCACCAGGACAGACCCTATTTCCTACCATTCTCCCTTAAAAGTGCCTATCTGTGATCCTAATTCTACTGCCCTCAAGGCAAAGAGAGGGTCTCTGAAAACACTAGTGTCTCAGTTCCCAGGGTTCTGAAAACAGTAGGGTACTCCTGGGGCCACTGTTATTTACCTGGTCTGTGTGGGCAGTGGGCCTACTTGAAGCTGGGTCTGGCTAAGGCCAAGCGGTCACTCTGCTGCCTGGCCCTTTCCTCCCCTTTGGGGAGGTGGACTGGACACCGTGGAGCCCAGGTGCCTCATCCAGTCTGGTTCTGATATGGATTCCCCTTCCCCACTGTCCCACCTACCTGAATTTCTGGACCTGACTTCTGTCTTCTCTCTTGCTTGCTACCTACTTGACACTGCCTGTACTTGGCCTTGCTTGGGAAAGAGCTGTGGAGTTAAACCAAATTGCACTGAGACCCTACAGGCAAGAGAAGCTGTTCCCACTCCCAACTCTTCTCTAAACCTTCAGAAAGAACAACTAGCTTCTCACTGTAGGCAGAGGGCCGTCTGTCATCATCCTCCTCTAGTAAGAGGCTTGGGTATTAGAAGATGAATGGCCTGAGCTCTGTAGTACCCCAGCCCTGGGGCTTCTGGTGACAGCTGGTTGTGGGGGAGTGGACCTGGACAAGTTCACGGATGTCCCTGTAGGCCCAGAGCTGGGAAGCAGAGGTCTTGGGAGGGAACTCAGTGGTGGTCTCCTAAAGAGCAGTTGACCTTACTCTGCCACATAAGGTCCCTAAAGAAATGGGCCCAGACCCTTACCTGCTTTGAACAGTCAGTGGAACCTGATCATTCCCAATGATCAGACTCAGTGGCAGGTTGGGGATTCAGCTATGGTCAGTGGTAAAAGTACAAAGTGGAAAGAGGCCAGGACTTACAAGCTTGGAAGCTGGCACTCTCAAGTTAAGGGGTCTGCTGTCCCTGCAGAACCCAGGCTGAGAAAGAAGGCAGGGACCCCTAAGACCAGAGTCAGAGAGAACTTACAGAGGAGAAGAGGGGGCAAGGGAGGCAGCTACAATGTCAGGGCAGCAGAGTGGGAAGATTGGGAGTGATACGAAGGCTGGCCTGAGAGACAGAGCTTTCCTCAGCCAGGAGATCTAAGGCCAGGGAAGGGTCCCTGGGGCTGCTGGGGTCTGACTACAGAAGGCTAAGGAAGGATCTGCACCTGGGCACCTAGAAGCAGGTAGCAGGTGTCAGGCATATCAGCCCCCAGAGTTTGGCCAGCAACCCTGGCAATCTCCTGACCTTTCTGCCCCTTGGCTGCCATTGGGTGACTTGCAGCTTTGGGTCATTAATGCTTCTTTTGAAGGTTCTTACTCATTCTTTGCTGCATTCAAGGGGCGGGACTGCTTAGGAGTTGGGGAAGGCCAGGGCAAGAGGTGGTGCCAGGAGAGCTTACCACTCTCTCCTTGTAGACGATATATTTCAACCACTTAAAGTCCTGCCACTTGAAGCCGGCGAGGACAAAGAGAGAATCGCGCTCGTACTGCTCAGGCCGCTGCATGGCGCCCTCGGGGTAGGTGATGCGCAGTGTCGTTTTGCTGCCCACATCCTTCTCAAAGCCTTTCACTGGTGCTGAGTTCAGTCTACAGAGAGCAGGCCCAGTCAGAGCCTGGGCCTGTGTTTGGGAAGGCACCATGACCCCAGAATACCCCAGACACGGAGAATAGGAGTCCAGGTCACCTGGACCTATTCTCCCCAGGTGCTACCCCTAGTTGTCTGTTCCAAAGCCCTCCAACCCAGGTTCTTGAGGCTTCTGTTGACCTCCAGCCCAACTAGCTAGATAGACAGTTCTCAATGGGCTCAGGGCTAAGGGTTTGGACCAGGACACTCACCCAAGGTGCCATTTTGGGGAGCTCACCTCACCACAATGTCATAGTCGTCAATTCGTGACCCCAGAGACTTGTTGGCAAGAACGCCTCCATTGCCCACGATGATGCAGCGGCGGCAGCGGAGGCTGAGGGGAGAGAGGCGGAGACCTCTGTACAGAGAACTGCCCACCAGGTCTCTTCCCCTGCTCCTTTGGCCCTTGACCCCATGCCCTTGTCCAGGACCAGGCTGGGATAGAGGAAGAAGACCAGTGGGTTTCTGGCAGCATTTCTGAGAGAAGGCTTGAAGCATACAATGGGTAGCTGGGCCCTGAGACTCTCCAGCATCTCTAGGCCCTGACACTTCCCCAGGAAAACAGGGCCATAGAAAGGCTTGGGTGCCAAGCCTAGGTAGTGAGGAGGGAGCTCTGGTAAGATGGCATTCCAGGGTAAAGGTTCCCCAAGGGGTAGTGGTGTTTAGGCAGGCTTCAAGGGAGAGGGAAAAGTGGGCCAAGCTTGGGGCTATACCAGGAAAGCAGGAAAAGGGGAACAGGCCAGGTGTGGTGGCTCATGCCTGTAATCCCAGCACTTTGGGAGGCCGAGGTGGGCGGATCACAAGGTCAGGAGATCGAGACCATTCTGGTTAAAACGGTGAAACCCTGTCTCTACTAAAAATACAAAAAATTAACCGGGCATGGTGGCGGGCGCCTGTAGTCCCAGCTACTCAGGAGGCTGAGGCAGGAGAATGGCGTGAACTGGGAGGCAGAGCTCGTAGTGAGCCAAGATCGCACCACTGCACTCCAGCCTCGGTGACAGAGCAAGACTCTGTCTCAAAAAAGAAAAAAGAAAAAGAAGAAAAGGGGAACAGGACAGGAGGCTCTAGGACTCAAGGCTCCCAGCAGTCACTAGGGAGCTTACTCATAGTGCTTCTCCCATCCCTGACCCTGGCACTTCCCACTCTAGGGTCTGTTGGTTTGGGAGCTGTCACTGCCTTCTGGACTTAAGCTTTGCCCCCTTCACCTGCCCCTGCCACCCAGGCCCTCAGTCCCATTGCTGGGCTAGTCCCAGCCCCAGTGTCTTCAGTTCTTACCCTCAAACCTCTGGTATCTGAGGACTGGGATGTCTGCCAAGTGCTTACAACCCATGGGGGTGCAAGTTAGGTGCAGTGGTTCCACTTACCTGCTCCACCCACCCTGTGTGTGTACTGTATGTGCATGTGTGGATGTGCTGGAGAAACTGCTCATGTCCAGGGAAGGCCAGCTGGACCTCAACACCTCTGCACACCACCAGGCAGCGGTGGGTAGGAGGCTGCGCAGTGTGTGGCTCACCTGTCCAAGGCAGGGGTCAGGCGGTACTCTTTGGTGACTGACAAGATGGCTTTGATCAGATTGTCTGCAGACAGAGGAGAGAGGTTTCTGTTACAGGGTCACTTACGTTTCTATAAAATGTTTACAGATAGGCCAGGTGCGGTGGCTCACGCCTGTAATCCCAGCACTTTGGGAGGCCAAGGCGGGCAGATCACGAGGTCAGGAGATTGAGACCATCCTGGCTAACATGGTGAAACCCCGTCTCTACTAAAATTGCAAAAAATTAGCTGGGCGTGGCGGTGGGCACCTGTAGTCCCAGCTACCTGGGAGGCTGAGGCAGGAGAATGGTGTGAACCTGGGAGGCGGAGCTTGCAGTGAGCCAAGATCGCACCACTGCACTCCAGCCTGGGCGACTGAGTGAAACTCCGTCTCAAAAAAAAAAAAAAAAAAATGTTTACAGATAATCCTACTGGAAGGCACAAGTTCCTGGGGGCTAGAGTGAAAGTGGAAGTAGAGAGACCTCTGGACACGAGAATGCGTTGGGCCACTGCCCTGACTTTATTCCTGACAAAGGAAGTGAAGGCAGGAAACAGACAGGCATATCACTGCCAGGAGCCCGTCCCTAACACTGGCACGCAGCTTCTCTCCCAGGCTTCTGGGAGGCTCAACTGGTTTTCTGAGGCTCTGTAGTCAGGCCCCAGAGCATGCATTCCTAGGCCAGGGCCTTCCCTGGAAGCTGGAGCATGCGGTCTCCCCTGGAATGGGAGTACCTGCTCAGAGCTAGAGACCACCTTGTGCTTATCTCTGTGTTCCCACTCAGCAGATACCAGGAAACGAACAAGGACACACCCAACAGCTGAAGAGCTCACCACGTGCCTCATTATCTGACATCACCTTTCCCTCACTTTCTCCCTCTCACATTGCCAGTCCTGAATCCTGCTCTTTGCCAGGCTGACTTTACCTCCTCACTTCTTTACTCCCTGAGCCTGGCTCTGCCCACCTGCACTCCACTCAGCAAGGACCCCTGTGACTTCTGTGCTCTCAGACCTGTGCCCACTATTTAGACCTCATCTCCTCAGCCTCTCTCTGGCTTTGGCAATGAGGACTGCTCTTCCAAACTGGTATCAGGAGAGCACTACAATATAATGTATAGTGAATAGCAAGGGTATTGGCTTTGGAGTCAAATACTGGCTGTACTCTGTGACCTTACATAAATCATTTCCTTTCTTTGAGCTTTAGTTTCCTCATCTCTAAAATGAAAGTAATTCCTATTTTGTGGAGTTGTTAGGAAGATATAAAATAATGTACATAAAGACCTAAAAATAAAGTAAACTGGTATCACCACAATGGAGAGCATCTTAATAACATCAAATAACCACAAAGATGTGCATACACTAAGATCCTACAACTATGCTCCTAGGCGCGGAGCACTGATAAAGTCACACGCTTGCTCCAGGAGACATGCAAGAGTGTCCGCTGATGAGCTGTTTGTTACAGCAAAATGTTGGAGGCAAGCTGAATGTCCACCAAAAAAAAAAAACAACAAACAAAAAACAGATTAAATGTGGTATATGAAATCCTATACAGCCATTAAAAAAAAAATCAATGACCTAGAGCTATATGCATCAATACAGATAAATCTCAAAAACATATTAAAAAAAAATGAAGAATATACATACACATATACACAAATATATGTACATATAATGACACCATTTGTAAAGTCTAAAGACATGTAAAAGCGGTACTATATTTTTAATGAATATATAAATATGTAGTGAAAATACATAAGGCTGGGTGTGGTGGCCCACACCTGTAATCCCAGCACTTTGGGAGGCCAAGGAGGGAGGATTGCTTGAGCTCAGGAGTTTGAGACCAGCTTGGGCAACATGGTTAAACCCTGTTTCTACAAAAAAATACAAAAATTAATCAGGAGTGCTAGTGTGTGCTTTAGTCCCAGCTACCTGGGGAGCTGAGGTGAGAGGATTGCTTGAGCACGGGAGTTGAGGCTGCAGTGAGTCGTGTGTGTGCCAGTGCACTCCAGCCTGGGTGACAAAGCAAGACCCTGTCCCAAATATACATAAACAAGGCATAAGAATGCCAACACTGAAGCCAGGATAATGAAGAATAATGGCTTCCTGGGGAAGGAAGAGAATGGAGTGGGAAGGGCTCCACAGAAGCTTTAATTGTATCTCATGTTTTATTTCTTAAGCTGAGTAGAAGGTACATCAATGCTCATTATTCCTAGTATTTTTTATATGCTTGAAATATTTCTTGTAAAGAAAAGATGGCTCCAAAATTAAAAATAACAAACTTATACTTTTTTAAAGGAGAGGGGTGGAGACGCTGGTAGAGGTAGCCGAGAGGTCATGTTAAGGACTGAGAAGTATCCCTTGGATTTCTCCAGGACACTGAGCAGTTTCACTGGAATGGTGGGGTGGGATGGGCAGGGATGCAGATGTTCTTCAGGAGTAAATGGTGAGAAAGAGGAGGCAGTAGGTGCAGTTAATCCTTCCAGAATGAGGTAGAGAATCTTTCCAGTTGAGTGAGAATGAGGTAGGGAAACAAACCTTTAAGCAATGTTCTACACTAAGTGCCTTCAGATATACCTTATGGTGGGCTTTAAGAAAGGCCACAGATTCCCTCCTTTTCCCACTTCCAATTTCACCTTTAAGGAAGAGCGTATTGCTACTAAAATTAGCCAAGGCCAAGGATATGGATTGGGCTTTGTTTTCTAGGAGGAGAACCTCAGCAGAAAGAGTACACATTAGCAGGTGCTCTCTGCTTGCTGGCTGATGGGCTCCACAGCAAACTTCCCTGGCCTTTGTAGCTATCCCATCTGAGTCTCGAGTGCAGATTTGAGAGAGAAGAGTGGCCTTCTTTGCTGCCTGCACCCAGGGAAAAGGTGTTCTTCATATGGTTTAACCTGACCCATTAGATTTGTCCTTGGAGGTCTGAGGTCAAAGCTCCAGTTCAAGTGCTTTTCCTGGCCACTTTCTTCTTTTCAGGGAGAGGTAGGCTGGCTGAGTCTAGAGGGTTCAGGTATTCTTGAGTCTCCTGGCCAAATGATATCACCCCTTTAGCTGTTATTTTATGTAATTCTGACCAAGACTTTACACAGTAGTATAATTCCATTTAACTGCTGAAGGAACTAAAGCACAGACAGGTAACTTGTCCAGGGTCACAGCTAGTAAAAAGGAAGTATGGGGATCTGATCCCTCTCTGCCTGACCCATAAGTCCAGATTATTTTCCACCATGCCATGAAACAGCACGGAACTTGACAAAGAAGCAGAATTGTTCAACTACTCGGGATGGGAAAGTCTTAAGTTAGGAGGTCCCCAAGGCAATAGAAGGGGAGTTTCTAAGAGGGCAGGGGACAGGTTAGCCTTGGACAGGATAAGGAAGGGCTGGAAGGGAGACGAGGTTGAGGTGAAAAACATCAGGATGGGCTGATAGAGGGGTGTGGGGCACTCCTGGGGGACAGTCTGTTACCTCTCTGGGAATGTCCCTACTATACCTAGTACTCTAGTGTTCCTGTCTATGGCACGCCTTTCCTGTGCTCTCAAAGCTCCTTGTACTTCCCTCACCAGAACCCTGCACTCTGAGTATCTGTATCTCGGCTATACTGGAGCTTTTTGAGGAGAGGAACCAAATCTGTCCACTTCACTGTTGTATACTTAGCCCCTGGCAAAGTGGTGGGCTCTGTGTACATATTCCATTAAAGAAGAAGCTGGGCACGGTGGCTCATGCCTATAACCCCAGCACTTTGGGCAGATCATTTGAGTCCAGGAGTCTGAGATCAACCTGGGCAACATGATAGAACCCTGTCTCTACTAAAAATACAAAGAAAAACTTAGCTAGGCATGGTGGTGCGTGCCTATGGTCCCAGCTACTCAGGAGGCTGAGGTAGGAAGATCTTAAAGGTGGTGGAGATTGCATGAGCCAAGATCATGCCACTGCACTTTAGCCTGGGAGACAGAGCAAGGCTCTATCTAAAAAAAAAAAAAAAAAAAAAAAAAAAAGTGAAAAAAGGAAGGGAAAAAGGTAGAGATTTGTTGAGAGTAGAGGAAGGGTGGATTCTTACCATGGGGACTTCGAGGATGTAGCCTTATCCTGAAAGATAGGGAGATAGTCGGGGGGGGGTGAGATGTTAATGTAGGGCAGGGTTCCCAACATACCTTGACCTTTGATCCCAAAAGGCGGCACAAACTCCCGGATTCTAGCCCACTTGCGAAAGGAGTCATCCAGGAACATGGGTGCTGGCTTGGAGAACCTGGAATATAACAGGACTGTTGAGGATCACAAAAACGCAACAGGGTGGAGTCCTGGTGGCACTTCTGTGCATCCATCTTGGCTAAGGATCGGCTGGAAGCCCCCTCTGATTCCGGCATACCCCTCTCCGCCCAGCCTGTTCACTGGGTTTCTGTTGAGGGGTTTGACAGATCTTGTTCAGTGGAGCCCGAGTCTGAGGGAGTAGGCCTGGTCAGTCTTTATTTGGCCAGCTGTAGGAGTGGAGAGACAAGCTTTGCTCAGCAAAGATCAATTTCTCAGAGCTAGAAGCTCTCTGGAAGGTTGTGCAGGCATCCATCAAATAGTCACTGCTGCCCACATTGTTCCTGTAATCTGGGAACACAGAGATGAGACACTGTCCAGTTGAGCAGAAATACATCCAAAAATACAACCAGTACATGGAGACAGATTTTGGAGAGAATTCTGGGAAGTGGACCACCCACAGTGAGGAAGAAGGAGAATTCATGGTGAGAGGGCAAAGCAGGTTAAAAGCTATAGGAGACAGAAGTTTGGTAGGGACGAGAAAGAAAAAGCAGAGTCCTAGGAGGCAGGGCCGAGGGGAGAGGTTTCAGACCAGTAGGAATTTGAGTGCATTTGCTGGTGGAGAGAAAGAAAGAGAGGAGGCTAAGTTCCTGTGGAAGTGAGGAAGGATCCAGAGCTTCAGGGGAAGGGTTGATCTGGGCCTGAGGGGAGATGGGGGGAAAGGCGAGAGAAGGAGGGTGAAGTGATGCTGAGCTCGGGGGAAAGAACAGGCAAGTCTTACTCTTCTTGGAATGGGCAGGGAGGGGACAGGCTTGGGGAGGAGGAGACGAAGTCTGAAGAGAGGCAAAGGGAAGTGAGGAAGAGGGAGAGGATGCAGCAGGAATTGAGCTCTTCAGAGATGACTGGAGAGCACAACTTCACATGGGCGCTAGCACCCTGCTTTGAGGCCATTTTCAGGGGACCTGGCAGCCCCAAAGATGGCCAGTCCCTGATCACCCACTGTGTGCTGAGAACTCTGCCATGCGGCCTGCTCAGGACCTTCCCGGCCATAAATGAATGTCGGGAGGCCTGGGCCTCCGTGGCTCTGTCTCGTTATTTCTAACTCACCCTGAATCAGCCACTGAATAACTGCAGGCTGCAGGGGTGGCCCTCCAAGCCCAGAAGCAACCACAGCACGGATTTCTCATCCCTATCATCACTAACACCATTATAACCGGCAGTCCCAGGAGCAACAGTATCAGTTATCACTCAGAGGTCTGGTATTATTAGAGATTTTGACATGAACTTGAAAGAGGCAGAAAACTCTGAATCCTGCTCCCTCCCCCATCACTCTTGCTAGGAAGATGTCAACACTTGGGAGCTCGGAGCCGGGTCCCAGCAACTAAGTCAGTGCACTCCCCCAGCATCCCATGTAAAAGGGTAATGCATATTTCTTGTGCCAAGTATATAAAATCTAAGTAAATTAATATATTTGATGTTTTGCCAGAGGCTCCGAGGATCCTGGTCATGGTCTATGTGTAATGTCAAAGTGAACATGGTCCCTGGATAAGCCTGCATCAAGAACCTCTTCTTCTGTGTCAGGACTGAGCTTATAAAATTTCTGGAAAGTTTCTCTCGGAGTCAAGCTTGGACAGGATTTTATCTGCTTTCCAATATGTACTAGATGTCATATGCTAATAAAATATGCCTAAGATCTAGCCAAATGATCTTGACTTTTTTTTTTTCCTTTTCCTCTCTCTCCTTTCCTTTTATTCAGATGACTGGAAAGTTCCGTAAGTTTTACTTTTAGAAACACCTCATTTTTTGTGCAACCTGTAACATGTTAATTTTGGAAAAAAATACAGACAAGCACACATGCAAAATAAAAATACCCATAATTGTACAACACAGATAATTAACCTTATGGTATACATCTAAACTGATTTTCCTTTTCCCATATTACTTTGTAGACTGCTTTGTAGACTTTCTCCTACTAGACAGAGACTGTAGTCCCAGCTATCTGGGAGGCTGAGGTGGGAGGATCGCTTGAGCTCAGGAGGTTGAGGCTGCAGTGACGTGAGATCACACCACTGCACTCCAGCCTGGGTGACAGTGTGAGACCTTGCCTCACAAAAAAAAAAAAAAAAAATTATTGATCAAGATTGGGTTCAGGCTGGGTGCAGTGGCTCGTGCCTCCAATCCCAGCACTTTGGGAGGCCAAGGCAGGCGGATCACCTGAGGTCAGGAGTTTGAGACCAGCCTGGCTAACATGGCGAAACCCTGTCCCTACTAAAAATACAAAAATTAGCCAGGCGTGGTGGGCACGCCGGTAGTCCCAGCGACTCGGGAGGTTGAGGCAGGAGAGTCGCTTGAACCCGGGAGGTAGAGGTTGCAGTGAGCCAAGATCACGCCAACTGTTCTCCAGCCTGGGTGATACAGCGAGACTCCATCTCAAATTTTAAAAAAAGACTAGGTTCAAGTGTTCTTGGCTAGAACTGATCAAGTTCTCAGCGGCTCTGCACAGAATGCTTGTAGTAGCCACTGAGAATCACCGCCTAGAGCCATCCTTTCTTTAGGAGATGCTACGATACTTCTATAAACTTTCTCTCATAACTCTTTGGTTGCAGTCCTACAGAAAAGATGAGATAAAATGCTTAATTTTTCCCCTTATTTACCCATTTGCATAATAATGAGCTGATTCCTTAGCACCCTCCAAAGATGATTAATGAGGCTTTTTTACATTTTAATCATTAGGAATTCAGACATTTTCATGTATTTGATATATGTCAATCTACTGTAATTTCTGTAACCATTATTATGTATTAATTAATTATTATTATTACTTTTTGAGATGGAGTTTCACTCTTGTTGCCCAGGCTGGAGTGCAATGGTGCGATCTCGGCTCACTGCAGCCTCTGCCTCCTGGGTTCAAGTGATTGTCCTGTCTCAGCCTCCTGAGTAGCTGGGATTACAGGTACCCGTCATCATGCCCGGCTAATTCTGTATTTTAAGTGGAGATGGGGTTTCACCATGTTGGTCAGGCTGATCTTGAACTCCTGACCTCAGGTGATCTGCCCACCTTGACCTCCGAAGGCGTGAGCCACTGAGCCCAGCCAATCATTATTTTTTGATGCTCAGATTATCCCTTCTTTGGCCAGTGGAGTCTTTTCAATTTGGCTCCTGAATCTTCTGGACATATTCCAGTAATCTTTGATAATGTCCTGGCTTTATGGTATGAAAAGATGTTTGCGGCTGATCTTGTACATTTCTTGCCCTGACCTGGAATCAGTCATTTATTTTCCCAAGGAACTCTGGTTCCTTTCAACTGGTAATGGTATTTACAGATCACCATCAGAGTAGCTAGGGAAGCTCATGGGTTAGTCATTATTTCCAGGCCGGTCAAAACTAGGACATACGCATATTTCCTAGTTCTATGTATGTAGGTTATTTGCCCTGTAGAGTGACCCATATTCCATATTTTCCCAGTTACATTCAGATATTGTTGAGCATGTTCACTTGTCCCATATATATCTGTTACCCAGGCTGGAGTGCAGTGGTGTGAACACAGCTCACTGTAACCTCAAACTCCTGGGCTCAAATGATCCTCCCACCTCAGCCTCCTGAGTAGCTAGGACTACAGACATCCACCCCCATACCCAGCTAAGTTCTCATTTTATTTTTAATTTTGGTAGAGATGAGGTCTTGCTATGTTGCCCAGGGTGGTCTTGAACTCCTGGGCTTAAGTGATCCTCCTGCCTCAGGCTCCCAAAGTGCTGGGAATATAGGCGTGAGCCACCATGCTCAGCCTCAAACACTTTCCACTTCGTCTCTCTCTTTCATCAGGCCTTTGGCTTTGGATTTTCTTTCTGTAGCTGCTCTTTCTATTCCTTGAATGATTCAACCAGCTCTCCTCTAACACTTCTGCTAGTTGGGTGCATCTCTTTGCAAAGGGAACTCATTTTTTCCTCCGGTGTATATATTTTTAAACTTTTCATTACGGAAAATTTCACATATAAAAAAGCAGAAAAAATAGTACAGTCAACACTGCCACCCCCATCACCCAGATTCAGGAATTTTCAATCATGGTCAATTTTGTTTCTTTAATACCCCATCCACTTTCTTTCTATACTATTTTGAAGATTCCCAGAAATTATGCCATTTCATCCATAGAATATTTCAGCATTATTTTCTAAAAGATAAGGACACCTTAAAATGTAAAACATACCTAAACAACCTTTCTTAAAGCATTATCACACCTAAAATTTTGACTATAATTTTTTTTTGAGACAGGCTCTTGTTCCATTGCCCAGGCTAGAGTACAGTGGTGTGATCTGTGTTTACTACAACCTCAAACTCTTGGGCTCAAGCATTCCTTCCACCTCAGCCTCCTGCGTAGCTAGGACTACAGGCATGAGCCACCACACCTGACTTATTTTTTATTTTTTGTAGAGATGGAGTCTCACTATATTGCTCAGGGTAGGAATTAATTTTTTGAGGAAAAGAATACATCATTCATTTGCAACTAGTATTTCCAATACAAAATTAGGATTATAAGATTTGTATTTATCTTCTTTTTCTTTTTAAAAACAGCTTTATTGATATATAATTCACATAGCAAACAATTGTTTACCTACTATATTTGACTTTATATTTGTATCTCTTTTAAGCTGACATCCTTGTTTCCAGTGACATTAACACAATTACTTTTTTTGCTTGATCCTAACATATACATAGAGAAAATGTATATAATGGTTTCAGAAAAACAATACCAGTATACTACTAACACTATCATTACTAAAAACAATTTAAGGTTTCTTTGCAGTTCTTTTTGCCTTAGGCTATACCCCACTAGCAGAACAGACAAATTACTTTGCATTTGCCAGTTGAAATAATTCTGCTGAGTTTAATTCATCAATGACATGATACATAGTTAGGTTCATTTGTTTCATTCCGCTTTTGCTTTCAAGGGAGAGCTTTTCCCTCATTTTAATTGATTTTGTTTAATGATGATATAGAGTTTTG